CAACCTGTGACAATGAAACTGTCACAGGTCGGCTCAGTAGATCGGGAAGTGAGTGAACACATACCGGCGTTCGCTCACTTCTCGATCCTCTTCCGGCAGAGAGCTGTAACAGGGGAGGGACTGGATTCCCCCCTTCCCTGTCCGATCCTCCAGTGCTGACTGGCGGAATGGGCGGGGAGGAGATGGGTACAGCTGGCTCTGCCTCTAGATAGGCAGAGCCAGCTGTCACTCATGCAGCTGGGTGGATTCAGACATAATTGTTGGGATCCGTTCCGGCTGCGGGGTCTCAGTATACCGCGAGCTGTAGCTCGCGGTATACTGAGCTTTGGGTGACGGGAGGACGCTAGTTTGTGTCCTCCTGTTACCTTTAGGAGAACTATGGGGAAAAGCCCTAACCCCTAAGCCCTAATGGTGTTTTCATTGAAATATTTCCCCTCACCCTTGTTCTGGTGATTTAGATTTCTGACCACTTTTTGTCTCAGTTATAAGGACAAATAAAGAGGGTAAAGCTATGGTGACACCGACATCAATAGACCTAGACAGGGTACCTAACCCTACCCTACTCTTTCCAAAACCAAACATTTTGCCTATACGATTACTTTAACCCCTTAAGAACAAAGGACTTTTTTACATTTTTAGTTTACATGTTATAATTCACATTTTAGGAATGAAAATTACTTAAATCCCCCAAATATGTTTTCTGAAAGCCAAGACCCTATAGAATAAAATGGTGGCAGTTGCAAATTTTTATGTTGCACAAGATTAGCGCAACTTATTATCAAGCAAACCCAAAAATTTTGTGAAAAATGCACTTAACTTAAATTTAGTGCCCCAAAACACTATACAAAACCATTTTTTGTAAAATATAGACGATGAGGTTACAACAAGTAAATAGATACCCAACATGCCCTGGATAAAAATTGTGTGCGTCTGTGAAACTGCGACAGAATTCAGTACCCCAAAAAGTCTATACACACAGCTTTAAAAGCCCCTACAGGTCATCACTTTAGAGATACGCATAAATATTGGCCCTAGAATTATTGCTCTCACTCTGGCGTGTGCCGCGATATCCAACATGTGTAGCGCAATCATCGTTTTTGCACGTAGGGGGACTTTAAAATTTATTTTTATTATTTTTACATTTAATTTATTTCATATTTTTAAAACTGTTTTTTTTTAAACTTTCCTTTAATTGCTATCACTTAGGGGGCTTACAAGCCCCCAATGTAATAGCATATTGGCAGTGACAGGTACTCTTTAAGGTGATACTGGGGATCCAAAAGACCCCTAGTAACACCGTTACACTGTAAATAAGCTATTATTGCTGTGCTTCAGGACAGCTATTGAACCAGAAGTGATGCAATACCTGTCGCTCCCGGTCCCATAGAACGGGGAGGAGATCAGTGAACGTACATTCATTGCTCTCCTCCCCAGCTTCCTGCCGACACCCAAGGTACTGGTCCTGGGCACGGAGGAGGGGCAGTGGGGGATGGTGTCGGAATCGCTTCTACCAGCTCTACAAGTATGAACAGAGTCCCGGTGGGTCTGTTTACCCCCATGGCGGGATTATCCCTTCATAGGTCGTTAAGGGGTTAATAATGAGGTTTAGCTTTTGCAAACTATATATGAGCCTCATTTAGTAATAATAATTCTTATTGCTATGGTTATATCCTCTGTATGTCTTAATTTTGTGCAAGGCATTGGAATTATATAAACAAAAATAGAATAATATTATAGAAATAATGCATTACAATAAAGTAATAGTAACTACAACATTATTACCATAATTGTTTTTTTCTTCTTTTGACAGCCTTGCTCTGATATCATTTGCCCTAAACCAGACTGCTTGCCTGGAACTAAAATCATTTCACAAATCAATCCAGATGATCCATGCTGTCCCCTGTACATATGTGGTAAGAAATACACATTTTTAGTAATTACTTATATGTAGCTCAAGTTTCAGAAACTTTTTCAAAATGCTTAGGGGGTTGATTTACTAACCTTATAAACACGCCACGAACAAGTATACACCTCTGTAGTGTGTTCCCTCCCAGCATGATCTATTGGTGGAATCTAGACACCTTTGTAGTGTGTACACACCCAGCAGGTGTGTTGTGCAAAGCCCTGCATGAATTGCAAGGTGATGTTGTGTAAATTAGCTCTACATTGTGTTGCTTGCATTGATGAATGCAGGAATGTAAATGCATGAGCTAACCATTTTTGTCTAAACTGTGAAGCAGCATTATATATGCATCATGTGCATGATTTTTCCATATATGGCATTAGTGGAAATATGCTTTTAGAGACTTTTTGGTTGATAAATACGTTTTGCTGTGTAAAAATCACACGCACCTAGTGCGTGCGTGTGTTTGGGTTAGTAAATCACCCCCTACGGGTATATTTATACAACAATGAATGTGACATTCATTAAACTTTTACTGCAGGTATATCTTACACATGCATGTGTACAAAATGACTGTGACAGATTCACCTAAAGTAAATGTTTGATGAATGTCACATACACTGCTTTATAAATATTCCCCTAAATATTAATTTTTTTCCTAAACAGTGAACTAACATATCTTAAAACTCTAGTGGCCCCTCATATGCAAATCTAATATTTCAATTCTGGAAGGATGTACATGCATGTATTCACTGGCTTCTTATCCATTTTTGAGGTTCCTTTAGGATTTTAAATTTGTTTATAATAATAAGGAGGTAGATCCAAGACCACTGCCATGGATGTCTCCTAGAGATATAAAGGTCGGTGGGGGTTCAGCCAATAACGAAAATGCAATAGCCCCTACCTCTAACCCCAGTTTTTTGGGCTGTAAATCATTGGGTTTAGGGCTCTAATTTTGGATTATATCTACAACACCATTGCAGTTAAAAAGTAGTAGTGCAGATTGTCTATTTAACTACAATAACAGCCTATGATTCCAAAAAGACATAGTTAGCCTATAGAGAACACAAGCAATGCGTATGGAGGGGTGGGAAGTGAACACCCCTCTGCTTTATTATACAGGGGAATAATTAGCAATCCACATTGAGCAAAATAGGAAACATTAATATGGAATTTTGCAAAAAGGTTTTGGGTAACACCTTAATAAAAGAAATTATTTGTATGTAAAAACAATTTTGTTTTTATTATGCTTGCTAATTGTATCCTTATAGATGGCCAAAATGACAATACACGTTTAAAACGATTTAAAATCCATAAATCTTATAAAAATGTTATTGGTAACTTTAAGTATATAGTCCTTTTAATTATCAAACATTCCAAGGAGAACAATCTGTCTCTTGATATATCTCAAAAAATAAAAGTTATCATATACAACTTCAACAGCTTCTGCCAGAAGAACTAATTTGATCTAATATAAAAGTCTTAGATTCATGTTTAGTTTACCAATTTGTATTGAAGTTATAGTTTATCACGGGAGCGAGTTTGGAGCGGTGGCTACTTTACAACACACAGAGGGAGCATGGGAAACAAAGGTTGCCACCCTCCAGAAGGAATGACAGTGTCAGCATGAATTCAGAGATGTTTTCAGGATCTACAGCTGATGCACAAATAAGATTCATTTTATTAATAGTGTACTTGAATGCATTTTTAAGAGTTTAGTGTCACTTTAAGTATGAAGTGTTACGCAAAACTTTTTTTTGCAAAATGACTATAATAATACAACATTTGAAAATAAGGTATTCTTTAACCTTGGCTATCCTTTTTTGATTAATCATCATCTATCATTTAAGGCATGGAAACTTAACTTCCGGTGTAAATTTACTGTATATTAGAATAACCTGATTTGCTAAAATATTTACCAATAGCTCACACAGTTATTATGTATTATTGCAGAGACTGAAATAACAACTGCTCCAGTACCAACCTCTGTAACTAGCGTGAGTATTAGACTTCATGCGTAATTCTTCCATGTTTATGCTGGCAGCATCTTTGATCATGCTAACTGTACATTTTTGCTAAGCAGAATCCAAAGAGAGCTTGTGTGACGTACAGTATATTAACTTGTACTGTTTAACATCATTATTCGTAAGGATGCAACGATATATCGGCCGCCAAAACATATCGGCCGAAAATGGCACTTTTGGCAAAATGCAGAAAGTGCCATTTTTCTGCAGAAATAGCGGCAATACAATACAATACAATTAAAAGCATTTTATTATATGTGTTCTGTAAGTCAAAAAATACCTGTTAATCATGTAAGAAATGCAGAGCTGTCCTGTGTCCAGTGCTCACTCCCTGTGTTATCTTAGGGTGAGTATTTAGCCCTTCAGTCCTTAACTCGGGACTAAAGAATAATTAGTCTTTATTTCGTCAAAATAGGAGAGTAGGTGGGTCTGAGTACTTTAGCAAGAGAAAATGGGGCAGGGCTGACATCACTAAGTCCAAAGAAATGCTTGTGTGTTGTCAGCCCACAGCAAGATTTAGAACCTGTGTGCCTTTCTGGCAGATCAACAGGTATTTTTCTTTACTTGCAGGGTCTTTAAAAAAAGAAGAAATGGCAAAATTTGCACGTATTGCAGAGATGTACTGCATATGTTTTATCTTATTTTGCCCTGACATACACTTTAAATAGCCCAATCCCCACCCCAGCATTGCAGTAGCCCTTAAGGTCAAACCTTTTTAGACAGCCTTAGTACATATGCAAAGTATAAGCAGGTATATATATTAAGTTCAATAGGCTGATACATCTGTCACTAGACTTGGTGTAAAGCTTCTGTGGTGTCCCTACTGCACAGCAAATCCCAATAACTTCTACAAAGCCTGGAAACACTCCCTGTACAGCACTGTTGGCACTCACAAATGCAGAGTACAACAGCCATTAAGCCATTAAGCTCATTTAATATGCAATAATATTTTATTGAATTCTGGGCATATGCTTTTTTATAATCTAATGAGGTTCATGTACAGCATGTATGCAGATATACAAAGAAATTAATAGCAATTTGTTTGTGTTTTGTCCTCTGTATACTGTTTACAGAAATGCAGTGGTGTAGTTTGCCCTCCTGAACCTGAATGTTTTGTGCAAGGCTCTAGCAAGGTCTACAAAACAGGAAAAGATCCTTGCTGCCCAGAAGTTGATTGTGGTAAGTGTTGGCGAAAAGCAAACTGTTTATTTTAAGAAATGTAAAGAATGTCACTGCTGACTTCCTTCAGAACGAGTTAGGCTGTCATGTTGACTTATGACTTCATTGATTTCTGAGTTACTTAAATGGTAACAAGTATGCAGATAGGTGACCTGACTTCACTGGCAATGCACTTCTTCCAAGTCAGTGACTGACTGAAGCAAGAGACACATGTGAGAGACAAGCACTAAAGTTTTCAGGAGTTCAGGAATGGCAGCCTCCATGATCCTCTCATGACAGGTTTCCTATAAGGTGAGATTGCCATATTCTTGACTAGTGTGCTCATCCACAAAGAGTGGCAATACAGAATGAGGAAACACATTACCATGAGAAATCATTCTGCATTTTTGTAAATTCTTTTTTTAAAGTGGAAAGTGATGGAAAACACCAATAAAGCAATACTATTAAATGTCAAGTTAGCTCCAGAAGTCTCCGGAGATAATACAGATATTACAGGAACCACAATTTACATAAAGAAAATAACAAAATACACTAAACATACAAATAGGTAAATTTGTGGCAGAGCTTTGGAATCCTATGTATGCAAAAAGTGTAGCCCATCACTGTCCAAATATATGAGGAACAAGGTTTCATCAAAAACCAAAAGAAAGGGAAAGGGAGATAAAGAAAAAAAAAGAAGCTGAGAGAGAGTGAGAAAGAGAGGCAAAAGAGAAATAAAAAATGGGGGGAGGGAAAGGGATACAAGGTAGGGTAGGAAAGGGGTAAAGGGAAAGGAGAAGAGCAGAAGGGAAAATCATAAGCAACGGAAGGGGTTGGGGGGGACACAAACAGCAGACAAACCAGCTCTAGTACTTAAGGCGATAGTACTTAAGGCAATATTATGTATTATGTGTGAAGTGTTTTGTGTTGTTGAATACATTTAGTTTATTAACAGTACATATCTACTGATGAATGCAGATGTGCCTGGGGACCGTGTTCAGGATGTGTCTATCCAATTAGAGGTTGCAGATGACTGTTGTTTCTTGGACTTTATATGTGGCTCCTAAGGGAGTGAGGAATGTGATTGGCTAAGAGGGGGCAGGATATAGCTAATCATATGAAATAGCTCAGAATGGTCTTTTTTCTCCCAGAATGTGACCCATGCAGTCCGCCACCAACCTGTGGACCCAATAGCGAGCTACTCAAGACTATTGACCCAGAAACCCAGTGTTGCTTCACATACAAATGCGGTGGTGAAAATCGTAAGTCTATGTCTGATGTTTATTCACCTACATAAATAATATTTGTAAAGCATTCTTGACATATAGGTTTTTGTAGCAAGATACATGATATACATTTATCAATAAAATGGCAGTAAAATAAATTGATATAAAGCATTATTCTAAGACTAATTACTTTGCATCTCCATCACAAGATTAATGCTGAGCTGTAAGGCACATAGCAAATACTATAAATACTATGAATGTATTAAAGTGAATAATTACTTATATATTTCTTTGTTTTATTTTCCAGATCCTCCAGTAAGTATTTGAAATTTCTGGACAATGTATAGGATCGTCTATAAACATTTAAGGGTAGTTATAGGCTTTTCAACATTTTTGGGTTAAATTTCCCAAATGTTTTAAGGTAACAAAAGTGATGAAACACAGGTACCTTTTGGTGCTGGCAATTGCTTATGATAGTCTTTAGATCCATCCCTGTGTCTTTTTGGAGCCGCTTTAATCCTAAATCAATGTTATACATAGGGCCCCATTTTCTGCATAAGACTAAGCCCTCCCCCCTCCTGATGCTAAACCCCTCTCATTATCATCCAATCATGAAATGCTGACACTTCAGTGAGCAGTAGTGGTTTTGGCTTTAGAGACGTGAATGGCAAGGATCAGGCATAGTACCAGGAAGGGGTTCGGATAGATCCAGGCTTTGGCAGAAGCCACATTTCATTTAATCTGATCACATCGGAAATATTGTCTTTTTAAAATCTAATTTTCCATTTTTATTTTAAATTTTTTTTGCCCCATTCAAACTAATCATTTTGTATGATTAGATTAGACTTTATAATTATAGGATAATGGCACAAAATGGCTCTAACCACTATATGTCTGATTAGTACATTTTAATACAGGGCTTAAAACTAAATATTTAGCATCGATCTATTTACCATATGTTTAGAATTCTTTTATTTTATTTTATGGGTTTTTTGTTTTAATTAAGTGAAATGTTACAGTTAAGCTGCATGTGTCATTATAATTAATGTCAGTAGCCCTAGCAGACATAAGTGACACTCTGTAGCAGGGGTAAACACCGTCCCTCCAGCTGTACTGAAAATACAAATCTCATCTCCCTCTAGGAGTCATGCTTGTGGCTTTCAGAGTTTTGCAATGCCTAATTAGATTTGTAGTTGCACCACAGCTGGTGGGCCTGTGTTTGCCTACCCCTGCTTTATAGTCTTTTCCCCAGCAGCTATATAAAAGTTTATACAGGGAGTTAAAGGGAGGGGTGGAGGAGCTTGGCCAGCACAGACAGTAGCTAGACACTTCCAGAAAAAGAGAGGGCTATGACATGCAAGGATGGAAGTGGGGTCTGTGCTAGCACTGCATGCAATAATATGCTTGTTTGCCAAAATACATTTGTAGGGGTTCATATACACCGTCACATTTATGGCACTTTGAATAATGAAAGCCATACCATTTTCTTAAGTGGCATAGTCTACTTATATGCATTTTCCAGGGCTGCTGTCTTCTAAATAATGTATGCTGCAATTTCAAGTAAATTGAAAGTGCAACTTCCGTCCAGATGAATGATACAGTATGTAAAATGCACTACGCATTAAATTGCTATGCACTTAAAACTATCTTGGAGTGAACCTTGGTATACACCAAGATGGCGGTGCCCACATGTTTGAACGTCGCCATCTTGGTGTATACCAAGATATACCCCAAAATGGCCACCAATCGTTCAGCGTGTGACGTCACCATCATGTGATGTCATGAGCTCCGCCTCCAAGATGGTGGCAGGCATGAGCAGAACATGCCAGCGGCCAATATGGGCACCGCACGTTCTGAAAACAAATTTATGTATGCCCGGCATATAATAAATTAGTTATTTCGATTGGGACGAACCGCCGAATCAACTGATTTTCATTGATTTGTAGGTTCGTCCGAATCCGAATGCACATGTCTAGTAGGGACTGATGTGAATGTGCAACTATGTAAAGTGCTGTGAAAATGTCAGCACTATATAAATAAAAGTAGTAACATTAACAAAAGGTTCAAATCAAAAACTATTGATTGTATCAATTAATGAGTAGTCAGTTTTCATGGCAGCCCAATGTGACCAACCAGTTATTTGTTTTATAATTGTCTAAACTTTAGCAGAGTTATCAGTTGTCAGCTATGATGTGCCAGAATTGGATGGATCCATGCTTCTAACATAATATTGTTTTTTTTAATTTTCTGTGCAGGAGCCTTGCAAGAATGTTGTATGCAAATTTGTCACATGTAAAGCAGGTGAAGAAAAGGTGGAAGTGCCTTCTAATGACCCATGCTGTAAAGAGTACATATGTATTGGTGAGTTACTAAAGCTATTGGACTCATTCAAACCACACTCGCAGGACCAGACAATTGGGTGAAGATCAACGTTTATATTAAAAGCGGTCATGATTTTGATGTACAAAATGTTTAATGGTGATGGCAACATCAGCAATAAACTTTTCACTGCAAACTCACTAAAAAAGACTAGAGGCCACCACCTAAAATTGGCTTCTTTTCAGTTAGATTTTGGAACTCTCTTCCACAAGCAGTGGTATCAGCAGAGAGTATTGAATCATTAAAAATCATTTAGGCATCTTCCTCAGAGACGATAACATAAAGGGGTACGGGTACTCTTAAAAACTAGACCACACAGGGACTCAAACTGCATGTACACAAGTGCACACAAACACACGCACACAAAGGTTGGACTTGATGGACCTGTGTCTTTATTCAACCTCAAATACTATGTAAGTATATTAAAACTTGGCATATTATTTTTATTTAGTTGCTTTGGATCTGGTGATCATTTTAGCATTTGATATCATGTTTTTTTAATCATGTTCATTTTATTTGCTCAGGTTTGGGTAACGCTTACTTGGCTTACCTTGTTTTTTTCTTTTTATAAGGTACCACACCTGTTCCACCGACAACATTACCATCCACACCTGTAAGTATATGATCCAGCGTAAGAAAATGTCACAACTGACAGTGGCCCACATTAATAACAATGGCCCTCATTAAAAATGGCTAAAAGCAGCCTCTAAGTCAGTATTATCACATCTCAGCTTGCCTTAAAGAGTATCTGTCACCAGACCATTCATTTCAACAACAATATTTCCATAAGATTTTATGTGCATTTAACATATTTCGGCTGTGTCATTTACCTGCAAAAACCTTTCTTCTGCAGACATCCAACAGCCCTGAGGCTGCTGCTGGGTGCCATCATCTTGTATATGATGTCAGCAGCCCCAGCAGACTTAAGTGACACTCTGTAGCAGGGCTAAACACCGTCCCTCCAGCTGTAGTGAAAATACAAATCCCATCATGCATCTCCCTCTAGGAGTCATGCTTGTGGCTTTCAGAGTTTTGCAATGCCTAATGGGATTTGTGGTTGCACCACAGCTGGAGGGCCCGATCATGCCTACCCCTGCTCTATAGTCTTCTCTCCAGCAACTACATAAAAGTTTATACAGGGAGTTAAAGGGAGGGGTGGAGAAGCTTGGCCAGCACAGACAGTAATTAGACACTTCCAGAAAAGAGAGGGCTATGACATGCAGAGATGGAAGTGGGGTCTGTGCTAGGGAATTGAACCTTGCTGAAGTTATCTAATTTTTCAGTAAAGTTCAAAGGCACACTGCACGTGATTACAAAACTCAGGAATGCAATTAATTGATTTTTGTGTGCCTATACCTGCAATTTGTTGTGTTGCTCACATGGTCTCTTTACATGCTATTTAGCACACCTTAGGTCCTATCACAGATGAATTGAGTCAATGCCCTCTACCTGCCTAGTACTGTTTTCCTTTAAAAACACAACATATGTAAAAAGTACTAAAAAAGCTCTATAGTGCATTCAAATGCATGTAAAATTGCATATAAACATGGTAAAACTCAAATATTTTCCAGTGCACAGGTGTGATTGCACCATTATTCATTGTTGGTTCTATGATTTTACAATCCCTTAACTGGTAAAAAGGCTGTTGTTAGCTGAACATGTGCAAACAATGCAGCCAACTTGAGCACTGCATGCAATAATATGCTTGTTTGCCAAAATAAATTTGTAGGAGTTCATATACAGCGTCACATTTATGCCAATTTGAATAATACCATACCATTTTCTTAAGTGGCATAGTCTACTTATATGCATTTTCCAGGGTTGCTGTCTTCTAATTAATGTATGCTGCAATTTCAAGTAAATTCAAAGGGCACCTTCCATCCAGATGAATGATACCGTATGTAAAATGCACTACGCATTAAATTGCTATGCACTTAAAATGTTTGCATCATTTTAAAACACAAAGTCAGAATGAGTCAGTTGTCGATATAGGTACAACAACCATGACTTTATGTGTGTCTTGCAGAACATTTGTGAAAATGTAGGTTGCCCACCACCAGAGAAATGTATCAAGAAGGGTGCTGACCTACAGGAAGTTCCTTGGGGAGATCCATGCTGTCCTCTGTACAAGTGCAGTAAGTCCCATTATAATCAGACATATTGAAATGGAATCATGCCTGTTGATAGACTTCAAGATCAAGAAAGGCTATATAACCTCTGTAAGGTTTTTATTGCATTGTCTCTTTTTTAAAGGATTTCTCATACTGGCTTGGAAAGGGTTAGCAGCTCTGTTAAAATTGAACTGTCTGTATCCACGCTGAGGAAGTTTCCTCTCATTTTTAGGTTCTAACGCTTCCCCGCTGGGTTGAAAATAAATATAAAACAAACATTTGGCTGGAGTTATTGTTTAATGAAGAAGCATTTCCAAGAAATGCAGACAAGTCTTCATCACATGTTGCAATTGTTTTCTAAAATCTTAAAGCTGAACAATAGCCATTTAGAAAACTCCACGTATTTCAGCTAGACTAGAGTTTCTTTTTTCAAAACATTATCCTTATCTTTATGTTTTATTGACTTTAGTCTCTATTTAAAAATTGTCTGCCTCCAAACTATCTAGCTAAAGAATGGTGATAGAGGCACTGATCTGAGGAAGGAAATTAGAAAAACACACTGACTATGGTCTGCATGAAATACCGCTGTGAACACGAGATGGGGACATGTCGTGGCTACACTGTTCTCACTGACGGGGGCTTCTGCACCTAGTGGTCACAGACGTTTCCCTGCTGCCTTGCATGGATTATCAATAGCAGAAATTTTAATATATTGCCTTGTAATTCAAAGGTCACCAGTTTTACAACATAACACTGGATGTATATACATAACTTTACTGGAGTGGCTAGAGATCAGTTTTTTCAGAGCATCATATGTAATAAAGAATGCACATAATTATTACTTTTGTTGCCAGGTTTAAATTAATTACAATTCCATAACACATGATAAAGGTTTAATTCTGAAGCAATAAAAAGTAAATGTTTGCTAAAGGTAATACTTTTCTTTTCAGTGTGCAAGGAGACATGTGCACCTCCTCCCACTTGTAAATATGACAACCCACCAGTTCAAATTGGCGACCCTGACACCGAATGCTGTCCAGAATATACATGCTGTAAGTATCTGTAACAAAAGTGGAACTAAAGCCTAGACTTTTTTGGCTTACATTTTCAGGATTATTTACATTTTAGAATTATCTAAAGTTGATTTTTTATTTGAATTTCAGAGTGTGGAAAGATTAGAACTTTTATCAAATATCTATTACCAGCTGTTTCTTTCCTCTTGACAGCATTGTCGACAGGACAGAAAATGCAAAGAAATTTCTCCATCTGGGAGACAACAGCAATACAAACTGGATTTTAGCTGAGCAGAAGGAGGCTAGAACTTATGGGGTTTTTTATTGCTGTCTCTGCTGGAGGTTTCCCCTCACTTCCTGTGACAGCAACAATGTTATCACTAGGACAGGAAGGAATCGCTCCAGATACAAACAGCAATAGAAACCTGTAAGAGGTTCTAAACAAAACATAGCTTTGGCTGGTGCAATTAATGGATGATTTCCTGGAAACACTCACATATCCCTTGTTTGTGATCCCACTATGTGTTACTACAGAGGGGTCTGCTCCTCATACCACTTAACCTAAACCTAGCACTATTATTTTTGCAATTTTCTTGCAAAACATTCCCTTTAATTGTTTCTTGATTACTATGCCTACTGTCTAGGGCTTATTATAACAGATCCTTGTGGGCACCTTTACATGTACATGTGCATGGACATCAGACTCAGAAGCAAGTCAAATGTAATATGCTTTGTCAGAATTATTTTTACTTGTATTTAGGTTGCTTTGAATTGTCTGTCAGTTGCTTAAAGGAGTTTAGTCTAGTTGTTTCTGACTTGCTTTTGTATTCATATTGACTTTCATAGGAAAGACAAAGAAGCTCAGATGCAACCAAAAGCTTGTCTACATTACTGTACACACAATTCCTTAGGGCACTCTGATTATTATTTTTTAGAATTATAATGGTTATTATTTAGTATATAAAGAAGTCATGGACTGTACTCTAATTTTGTGTAAAACACACTTTTAATGACAAATAAATATGGTTAGAATTAAATTCTGTGGAACATTGTTTAGGCCATAGAATGAAAAAATAAGTAGCACGGGTTTTGTTCATAACATCGACATTGATCCCATCTACAGCTACCTTTTTTCAAGTTGATGGGCAACAAAAATGCTTTTCTTTGGGCAAGGTTTTAGTTTGGTAGCTGATAAATGCTGTGTCATACATGTAATCATTACTTATATATGTTTTTACAGTACCTGAACCTACACCTCCACCAATTGTCACTCGGGTAAGCAAAGAAATTGTTTAACACTATTTTCAATTTAATAAAATTCAGTTCATGTAGGGCTACACCTATTCGCCAGCATCTCTAATTCTGAACTGTATTTGTGATTTATTGTGCTTTCTTTAGAAAACTCACTTGACTATGCGGCCATATGCCCCCCTACGCTCACCTCTTTTCCAAAAGTATATGATTCTTTCATGTTAGCAGAATGGGCTTATGCTACAGACAGTCTTTATTAGTGTTGGAAAGGACAGCTTTCAAGCCAACTTTTAAGAAGTCGGTGTACTACCATTTGCATTGAGTTCATGGCCAGCTGCCATGCGCTCTACCTTTGTTTTAAGGTCATATATACTAGAGGGCAATAATAACTAGATTTTACTTACTGATTGTAACTTATATGCTCCTATAGTTAAAATACAATATATCAAGTACCTGAAAGCAAAAAAAACCTCCCCTGACACTTGGCCAATGGTTCAACGATAAAATGTATATAGAGGACTCAAATATCCCTCAAATATCACTAAGCAATTAAGGAAAACCAGGTTCTACTAGATGTGATTCAGTCATACCATAGAATAACTATCTGCTGTAGTGAATCTGAACCCTGAAAACATGCCTTGAATGTAATATTATATCAGGGCTCCAGTCACCCCTCACACCCAACCTACCCCCTCTCTACACCTTCCTTTCTCCATGTGCTTTCCCCCTGGCTCCTCACCCCCTTAAACACTCCCAGAACCACCAGCGAACCCTAACAACCTGACCTAGACATATAAAAGCTGTGTAAGTGTAATCTGTTCAAAACTCAAAAATAAATTACCTAAAACTTTAATTTTTTAAATTTACATAAATCATTTCACATGGCAGAAAAAAAGATGCACTTGATATAAATGTGTTTCCATGTTTTCTACAGGGTGAATGTGAAGGTGTCACTTGCCACATTCCTGTCTGTGGCAAGGGTGATATACTGGTGGAAATTATTTCAGATGACCCATGTTGCAGGCATTATAATTGTGGTGAGTGTTTAGTCTCAGGAAAGAAAAATTAGTTGCTCCTAGATTACATTATAGGTAACCAAAGTGGCCAGCTCTAGCAACAGTTGAAAGGGATCGTAAGGAAACATTCTAACTACCGGTATCTTTTTTTGTTGAGAATGATTTACTTTAGGAACCTTAGTTTTGTGCTTGGACTTAATTCTGCAAGTGAAGATCCCTTCATATTACTATCCTGAGGGGCCCCCAATAAATATATTTAGGTTTTTTTCTTGGAAATCCCTGGAAATCTATATATCTAGATATAAAGTATACGTTCAGTTTTAATGCTATCCAATAATACTGTTAAGTAGCCTGTGGTGAAGGAAGATGTCCATGCATTGGAACTAGATTGAAATTGGTTGTACTTGCCAGAAAAATGGTCTACATGAGCAGCATAACACGAGTTGCTATTTTTTTTTAACTAAAAAATATTCATGAATGTACCTTACATTGTAAAATACTTAAAACTTAATATTTTTGCTTTTGTTTTCCAGTGCCTCTTTCTCCTCCATCAGTAAGTTAACTAATTAAATGTTATTGTCCACATGCACTTTACAATTGTAATGCAACATTTTATACTAAACATTCATCAAAAGTTATTGTTTGTTTGTACTTTGCGTCTTTGATTTGTTCTGTAGAGCTTTCACAGTTGTTATGAATTCTATAGAATGTTTGCATTATATATAGTATGTTACTGTCACAGTGCTATTTATATGACAAGCCTTAACAAATTATTTCTTTTCATATTTTTTGTTATCCTTTGCAGCCATCACCCCCGGTACGTAACATTCTAAGATGACTTTTACTTTTAAAATGAGCTGTTGTATTTTCCTGAGAAAAGTAACTGTTTATGTGTTGACCACAATGATCAATTAACTTTTCTATCTATAGCCAAAACTTTTTTATTGTAATGGATAGGTTAGGAAAAGGTCAAAACCTCTGTTTACCTTTGCTTTCTGTGCTCTGTTGGGACGATTTCCTTTTATTTCCTGTTCCAAAGATGCAACAGAAAGTAAGAAGAAGTTTCTAAAAATTGAGGGGATTTCCTCTCTTAGACAGTTTTCTCTGACACAGGTGTTTTCATTGAAATTTTTCCCCTCACCCCTGTTCTGGTGACTTTGTAAAATTTTGATTTCTCACCACTTTTTGTCTCAGTTATAAGGGCAAATAAAGAGGGTGAAGCTATGGTGACACAGACATGGTGACCCTACCCTACTCTTTCCAAAACAAAACATTTTGCCTATACGATTACTTTAACCCCTTAAAGGAGAATTATGAGGTGAGTGATTTTCACTTACCCTCATAATCTGAGCCAACCTGTGACAATGAAACTGTCACAGGTCGGCTCAGTAGATCGGGAAGTGAGTGAACACATACCGGCGTTCGCTCACTTCTCGATCCTCTTCCGGCAGAGAGCTGTGAAAGGGGAGGGACTGGATTCCCCCCTTCCCTGTCCGATCCTCCAGCGCTGACTGGCGGAATGGGCGGGGAGGAGATGGGTACAGCTGGCTCTGCCTCTAGATAGGCAGAGCCAGCTGTCACTCATGCAGCTGGGTGGATTCAGACATAATTGTTGGGATCCGTTCCGGCTGCGGGGTCTCAGTATACCGCGAGCTGTAGCTCGCGGTATACTGAGCTTAGGGTAACGGGAGGACGCTAGTTTGTGTCCTCCTGTTACCCTTAGGAGAACTATGGGGAAAAGCCTTAACCCCATAGTTCTCCTTTAAGAACAAAGGCCTTTTTTTCATTTTTAGTTTACATGTTATAATCCACATTTTAGGCCTGGAAATTACCTAAATCCCCCAAATATGTTTTCTGAAAGCCAAGCCCCTATAGAATAAAATGGTGGCAATTGCAAATTTTCATGTTGCACAACATTAGAGCAACTTATTATCAAACAAACCCAAAAATTTAGTGAAAAATGCACTTTACTTACATTTAGTGCCCCAAAACACTATACAAAACCATTTTTTGTAAAATAAAAACAATGAGGTTACAACGAGTAAATAGATACCCAACATGCCTAGGATAAAAATTGTGTGCGTCCGTGAAACTGCGACAGAATTCAGTACCCCAAAAAGTCCATACACAACGCTTTAAAAGCCCCTACAGGTCATCACTTTAGAGATATGCATAAATATTGGCCCTGGAATTAATGCTCTCACTCTGGTGTGTGTGGCGATATCCAACATGTGTAGCACAATCATCGTTTTTGTACGTAGGGGGACTTTAAGAAATGTTTTTATTATTTTTACATTTAATTTATTTAATACTTTTAAAACAGTTTTTTTTTAACTTTCTTTTGATTGCTTTCCTTTAAATCACTTAGGGGGGCTTACAAGCCCCCAATGTTATTACGTTGGGGGCTTGTAAGCCCCCCTAAGCCCCCACGGCATATTGGACGTGACAGGTACTCTTTAAGATGATACTGGGGATCCAAAAGACCCCTAGTAACACCGTTACACTGTAAATAAGCTATTATTGCTGTGCTTCGGGACAGCTATTGAACCAGAAGTGATGCAATACGTGTTGCTCCCGGTCCCATAGAACGGGGAGGAGTTCAGTGAACGTACATTCATCGCTCTCCTCCCCAGCTTCCTGGTGACACCCGAGATGCCGTTCCCGGTGCACATAGCAGGGGCAAGGGGGGGTGGGTGCCGGAATCGCTTCTATTGTAAAGCCGGCCACCGGCTTTACAAGTATGAACAGAGTCCTGGCGGGTCTGTTTAACCCATTGAGGATTCATGACAGGATTATCCCTTCATTGGTCGTGAAGGGGTTAATAAAGAGTGTTAGCTTTTGCAAACTATATATGAGCCTCATTTAATAATAATAATAATAATTCTTATTACTATAGTTATATCCTCTGTACGTCTTAATTTTGTGCAAGGCATTGGAATTATATAAACAAAAATAGACTAATATTATAGAAATAATACATTACAATAAAGTAATAGTATCTACAACATTAATAACATACTTGTTTTTTCTTCTTTTGACAGCCTTGCTCTGATGTAATTTGCCCTAAACCAGACTGCTTGCCTGGAACTAAAGTCATTTCACAAATCAATCCAGATGATCCTTGCTGTCCCCTGTACATATGTGGTAAGAAATACACATTTTAGTAATTACTTATATGTAGCTCAAGTTTCAGAAACTTTTTCAAAATGCTCAACAGTCAACTCTGACTTTAGGGGTATATTTATACAACGATGAATGTGACATTCATTAAACTTTCACTGCAGGTATATCTTACACATGCATGTGTATTGAATTACTGTGACAGATTTACCTGAAGTAAATGTTTGATAAATGTGACATACACTGCTTTAGAAATGTTCCTCTTAATATTTAGGTGAACTAACATATCTTAAAACTCTAGTGGCCATCATATGCAAATCTAATATTTCGATTCTGGGAGGATGCACATGAATGTATTCACTGACTTCTTATCCAGTTTTGAGGTTCCTTTAGGATTTTACATGTGTTTATAATGATAATATGGATATCCCCTAGAGATATTAAGGTCAGTGGGGGTTCAGCCAATACCAAAAATGCAATAGCCCCTACCTCTCACCCCAGTTTTTTTGGGCTATAAATGATTGGGTTTAGGGCTCTAATTTTGGATTATATCTACAACACCATTGCAGTTAAAAAGTAGTAGTGCAGATTGTCTATTTAACTAAAATAACAGCCTATGATTCCAAAAAGACAAAGTTAGCCTATAGAGAACATCAGCAATGCGTATGGAGGGGTGGGAAGTGAACACCCATCTGCTTTATTATACAGGGGAATAGTTAGCAATCCGCAAAATAGGAAACATTAATATGGAATTTTGCAAAAAGGTTTTGGGTAACACTTTACACCTTAATAAAAGAAATTATTTGTATGTAAAAACAATTTTGTTTTTTTTTATGCTTGCTATTTGTATTCTTATAGATGGCCAAAATGACAATACACGTTTAAAATGATTTAAAAGACATGCATGATTAAAAACATTCAAGATGCACCATGATTTTATATAATTAACATGATTACATGATTTAATTTTTAGAAAATCCATAAATCTTATCAAAATGTTATTGGTAACCTTAAGTATATAGTCCTTAATTATCAAGCATTCCAAGGAGAACAATCTGTCTCTTGATGTATCTCAAAAAATAAAAGTTATCATATACAACTTCAAAAACTTCTGCCAGAAGAACTAATTTGATCTAATATAAAAGTCTTAGATTCATATTTAGTTTAACAATATGTATTGAAGTTATAGTCTATCATGGGATCGAGTTTGGAGTAGTGGCTACTTTACAACACGCAGAGGGACCATGGGATACAAAGGTTGCCACCCTCCAGAAGGAAGGACAGTGTCAGCATTAATTCAGAGATGATTTGAGGATCTACAGCTGAGTGATACACAAATAAGATACATTTTTATTAATAGGGTACTTGAATGCATTTTTAAGAGTTAAGTGTCACCATGGAGAACAAAAGTTGCCACACTTCAGAAGGAAGGACAGTGTCAGCATGAATTCAGAGAGGGTTTTAGGATCTACAGCTGAGTGATGCACAAATAGGCTGCATTTTTATTAAGAGTTTAGCGTCACTTTAAGTATGAAGTGTTACGCAAAACTTTTTTTTGCAAAATGACTATATTAATATAACATTTGAAAATAAGGTATCCTTTACCCTTGGCTATCTTTTTTTTATTAATCATCATCTATCATTTAAGGCATATAAACTTCACTTTCTGTGTAAATTTACTGTATATAGAATAACCTGAATTGCTGAAATATTTACCAATAGCTCACACAGTTATTATGTATTATTGCAGAGACTGAAATAACAACTGCTCCTGTACCAACCTCCGTACCTAGTGTGAGTATTAGACTTTATGCGTAATTCTTCCATGTTTATGCTGGTAGCATCTTTGATCATGCTAAGTCCGTAACTGTACATTTTTGTTAAGCAGAATATAAAGAGAGCTTGTGTGGCGTACAGTATATTAACTTGTACTGTTTAACATCATTATTCGTAAGGATGCACCCATATATCGGTCGCCGAAACATATCGGCCGAAAATGGCACTTTTGGCAAAATGCTGAAAGTGCCATTTTTCTGCAGAAATAGCGGCAATACAATACAATACAATTAAAAGCATTTTATTATATGTGTTCTGTAAGTCAAAAAATACCTGTTAATCATGTAAGAAATGCAGAGCTGTCCTGTGTCCAGTGCTCACTCCCTGTGTTATCTTAGGGTGAGTATTTAGCCTTTCAGTCCTTAACTTGGGACTAAAGAATAATTAGTCTTTATTTCCTCAAAATAGTAGAGTAGGTGGGTCTGAGTAGTTTAGCAAGAGAAAATTGGGCAGGGCTGACATCACTAAGTCCAAAAAAATGCTTGTGTGTTGTCAGCCCACAGCAAGATTTAGAACCTGTGTGCCTTTCTGGCAGATCAACAGGTATTTTTCTGTACTTGCGGGTCTTTAAAATAATAAGACATGGGGAAATTTGCACGTATTGCAGAGATGTACTGCATATTTTATAAAGTTTCTGTGGTGTCTCTACTGCACAGCAAATCCCAATAACTTCTATTAGTTACTAAGCCTGGAAACACTCCCTGTACAGCACTGTTGGCATTCACAAACGCAGAGTATAACAGCCATTAAACCATTAGGCCTTGTTCACATCGAAAGCGTGTGCGTTCCAGAGCGGTAGCTGCTGGAACGCACCGCGAT